TGGGGAGGTTTTCATCCAGGCCGGTGAGAGATTCGTAGGAGGGAAGAGAGACGCTGATGCGGGCCCCATGCTCGGTCTCCAGCCTGCCGCCCGGGTAGACCCCGTTGACCACCTCCTCGTAGCTGGGCACGTAGTAGTGCGAGAGGCTCTCTGCGTCCTCTTCTTGGCTGCGGGCAGGATTGGGACATGTGACTGCAGCCCTCAGATCTGGGTGTCTCTCTTTCAGTCATTTCTAACCCCCCCTCTTTTAAAATGCTTTTAAGGCTGGGAACAAATGCACGAACGACATCAAAAGCCAAGGTTAAAAGTAGCAACAATCAAGCGATCGATGGAGAGACTGTTACAATTAACGCTTGGATCTCACTTGCCACACCGTTGCACAAGGGTGGCTCCCGCCCCCCACCCCCCGAACGCAAAGAGCAGATAATCAAGGGCAATTTCCTTGCACGTCGCAGCCCCGGGTCTCCCTCCCCTCTCCGGGCCGTGAAAACAGGCCATGCCCACATTTGGGTTAAGGCTTAATGTGGGTTTGTTCAGTTTTGGCCCGGCAGAGCACGGGAGTGTGGCCGGAGGAGTCCGTAAACGGGAACTGATACCACTAAGCCAAGAAGCTGTGGCTTGTTCTACCAACCATGTTTTAAAGCGATGGCTTGAGGCAACGGGGGAATCACTGTCCACACACTCAGACGTTAAGGGGCTTGTCTGGGGAGCTACTGGGGTTCGGGCTATAGACCACAGCTTGCAGCTCGGTGTGGCTCTGCTTCTTGGATCCAAAGGATCTCACCCGGGGCCCGAAGCCACAGCTCGAAGGGCAGGGCCCGGCCGGGGAAGGCTGGCTGAGGTTGGCTGAACCTGGCCCCACGATTAAGCAAACCGCAGCCCCCGAAGAAGCCCTCGGTCTACCTATCTCGGCATCGCAAATCACGTTTCAAGCCACTCACAGCGAAGGCTGAACTGAACCCCAGTGCTACGCTTATCTGGGTCCCAGAGCAGGCCGGGGCCTGCAACAGGAGATCCACGCAAGGGCTCAAGGAGGTTGCCACGCACCAGGCGCTATGCTACGACCGCGCAGGGCGAGGAAATGCTGGACTTGGACTTTCCTGGGCAAGTTTCTTGGACTTGCCAGCATGGTTTTAACTTTGTTACGCCCGTTATGTTCGTGGCTGGCCGTTACGTGCGCACCAGGAACTGGGGTTTAAGAGAAACTCCAGGGAGCAGCCAAGTGCGCTGGCAGTTGCGGGGCTCAGGCCCTCCCTCCTTCACCGCCCCTGCTCACCTGTCTTCCGGGGGAGGCCGCTCGACCGAGGACTGCGGGCGTATCCGGACGACGTCGTCTTCGCGGTGCCTCTGCTTCCTTCTGTCCCGGACGGTCAGGCAAATCGAGAAGAGGAGCAGCAGGATCCCGGCTCCAACCAACACGTAGGCCACTGAGAAGGTCTTGTTCCTGTGCAAGGGTCCCTGGTGGATCTCTGTCTCGTTGTGGGGGAGGCTGCTGGCCGGGTGAAGTTTGGCGCTGAGGCCGAAGCCGGGGACCAGGTTCCAGACGGCCATGATGACTCCGAGGACCAGCATTCCCAGCCCAATAGCCGTCAGGGCGTAGTGGGAGCCGTTGGACCTGGACTGCGCCATCCTCGATGCCCTCCGGACCTCTCAGGGGAGATCTAGTGGATCCCTTCCTCCTCCGCTGTTGAAGGCCCCGGGCTGGGTTTGCTCAGAAGATCCGAGTAGGAAAAGGGGATCTGGAGAGAGAAGGGATCTGGGTCAAATTCAGATGAAGAATATTCTAGGGGAGACAAGGGGTGCAGAAGGAAATTTCTACAGAAATTAAAATTTGGCCCGTTGATGTGGAAGAACTAACATTTGGAGAAATAAATGATCTCAGTCCTTCTGGTTATATGAGTCACTTCTCTGCAGAAACCCCCCCCATTGTTTGGAACTCAGTTGTCCCAAATTACAAAGGATTCCTCCTTTTTGCAATACTGGTCCTGGAAATCATCACAATTCCTAATTCTGCTCTTGGGAGGGGAGAGTCAGGAAAGCTTCCTTAATCTTTGCAGATTTCTTTCATTCATGACTTAGCAAATGGCAGAACCTGGATGACCTGCCTGGCCTTGGAAAAAGGCAGGGTGTGTGTGTGTCTGGCTTAGTAGCTGGATAGGAGACCACTAGGAAATCCCAAGGAAATGGAAAAACAGCCTGGAAGTAGGCACTGTTGGTGGCTTCGTCGTTGCCACCAAAAACACTGCGTGGCACAAGCAGTCACAAGCAGGAGTTTGGCTCAAAGGAACTTGAGTGTCACTTTTTCTCCAATTTGTCCCCCCGGGTGTCTTGGATGACGGTTCCCATCGTTACGGAGGATGGGAACTGCAGTCCAACGCAGCTGGAGATCAGTTGCTTGGGATAACCCGAGTTAAGGGACAGCTTTGAAAAACTAACCGATGGAGTAAACTACCAGGGACTGACTTCCCAAATATTTTTACTCCTTTGCCTAACGTAAGTGAAGGATTCAACCCAGACACACACACACGCACACCCATCAGAGGGGCCCTCGCCAAATACACACACACAACCCCGCTGCAAAATGGGTGGGGGTTATGGGGCCTCTGCCTATATTTCTGGGGACTCTCAAAAGCAGAGAGGAGAGAAAGAAGCATCATTAAATATAATGTTAAAAAATATATACTCCCCACCCGCCAAAGTGCAGATGATCGGGTTGGAGGAAGCGGAACGGAGCCGTGCCCTGCCTGAAAAAGGAGCAACCCATCAGGTTTTGCAAACAAACAGGACGAAGTGGCCGCTCAGATCAGCTGCAGGCGGCTGGATTTAATGGCTCCATCCGGAACCAAGCTGGAAAGTAAGAAGAGAGCCATTAACGCTTCCAGCAGGGCTCTCTCTGCTCTGAAGATCTTCTTTCTCTTCCCTAGCACTGGACTAGATGGGGGGTGAGCAGCTTTGTTTCCCACTTAGGGGATCTTGAAATCTGCCATCCTTTTAGAGGAGTGCTTCTCAACCTTGGCAACTTTAAGATGTTGGACTCCAATTCCCAGAATTCCCCAGCCAGCTTGGGGAGTCCAACATCTTAAAGTTGCCAAGGTTGAGAAACACCATTTTAGAGCCTCTGAGCCAAAATGCGATGAATTTAGAGCTATTTTTCCCTTTTCTGCTGCTTTGGGAAAAGAGAAAGGGGGTGCAAGGACACCCACCACTAGATTTATCCCCAACCCCATGGAATAACACTTTGCCAAACATTCGGGTACACCAACCCACGTTTGGCAAACTCTGCTTTAGACGACAGCTATTGTAGAGTAGCTGCACTCGAGAAATAATGACACGATTAAAATACAGCCCCAGACCCAATTTTAGCAAATCCCACTAGATGCAAAACCGTACACGCTAGGGAAGGCTTAGCACGCGCTAAAAAAAAAAAAATTACAGTAATATGTCGACGCAAGCCCAGCAGAAAAGTGCAGACCAGATTCGACAGAAGAACTAAATGCCATTCTTTCTTTCCATTTCAGGAACCACCAGGCTGGCTCATGTAAAGTTAATCATTGTTAACACTAACCACTTTCTTCTTCCAGATGATAGAACGCACTGCAGTTAATTCACTGTAAATGCTCCCAGCTGTGCAGCTGGAGAAAAGGGGACAGAGCTTGGTTTGCAATACGCTAAACTTAAGAAATAAAAGTCTTCCTCACTCCTGATGGAAGATGCAGTCATCTTGGCAACCGTACCGAAGCAGCTTGCCTTCTTAAGGGAGTTTTTTTATTTCCTGGTGGTCTCCCATCCGACCCAGCTTGCTTTCTGGGATCAGCCAGGGTCGGCGGGGTGCTGCCACCCGTGCTGGACAAAAGCTGGCTTGTCTCTGCACTCAGCCCCCGGCTGGCGTTCCCCTGGTTGCTTCTGAGGCTGAACGAAACCCGACAGAGGAGCGAGGGGGGAGCAGGCAGGGTGGCTCCCTCTGAGCCCAGGGTCAGACATGGGTTCCCTCCCCTCAGTCACCCGCCAAGATCCGCCACCCAGCACGGCTGCCAGACGGCTCACCTGCCCCAGCCTCAGGGCTTCCACTCTGTGCCATTTCTCGGAAACACACCTGCAGCCCTGCCCGTTTGACAGAAAGCGCCCAGAGGAATGGGCACCCCTGCCAAGAGGCAAACAGATGCCTTCTGGGGAGGCACGGCCCCTGTTGCCACCTGGCTGAACGGGAGTGACCAGGAACAGCTGGCGCCAGCGAGGAGTGGGCCTCCCATAAGCCCCCTTGACCGCTTTCTTCCGGTAATTCCAGCACTCCCCTTCTGCCCTTGTTCTCCGGCCTTCCGGGGAAGGAAAGGAAAGATGGAAGACTGGCAGATTCCACGGGATCTCCAGATTTGCAGAAGTTCCAAGAGGAGGAAAAGCCAACGTTGCAAAATGAGGACACAGAACCACATCCACGCACAAAATGGAGCCGAGCGCTGCCAGATGGACGGCAGGAACATTTCCAAAATAGAAAGCCAAGCGGGGTGGAAAGGGCAACCCCAGAAAAGGGCCCACCCCCGGCCTGGGCAAGGCCCCCCCCCCCCCATGAGAAACAGGGGGGCCGTCTGCGTTTCTGCTTCTCTCGTATGGGGTTTCCTTTGCAGG